ATATATATATATATATATATTAATTTTTTTTTAGAAAAGCTCATTTTCAATCACATATTTTATAGGACGCAAAACTTTCATCAACTTTCAACCATATGTTTCATCAACTTTTATTAAAATCGATTAAATTTTTGGATTTTATCTAAACCAAACAAGGCTACAAGTAGATTTTGATTTTAAAAAAATGATGGAATATGTGATCAGAAAGTAGTTGATCCGATGATATGTGGGTTAAGTTAATTGTTGACCTCGACTTAGAGCCCCTGTTTGGTACAGATTATAGTCAAAATTTTAATCTAAGTTAAAGTTGATAATTAATTTTAACTCGCAACTTTTCGATCACACAATTCATCAATCTTTATTAAAATCTACTAAAAATTCGATATTAATACCTACCAAACAAAGATAGAGTTTAATCCAAAATTTATGGGAACGAAACTGGGAAATAATCATCTTTCTAACACTACCATCTCACCCCAACCACAACCTTTGTGAAGGCTTATTGGCATAAAACATCCATACATTTGGTTCTTAGTGTGCAAAACGTCCTCACGTTTCAATTTTTTGCATTTTCATCCATATTTCAACGTTTCATTGTGGAAAACGTGATTTTCATCAATTTTTATTCAATTTCTCAATTAAAATTTTAAAATGACAAATATACCCTCTTATTTAAATAAAACAAAAGGAAAAGGAAAAAAATAAAAAAATAAATTGCAATCATACTCCCATTTTTTTTAGAAAAAGTACAAATAAATCTCAAATAAATTAAATTAAAAAATTAAAAACGAAAAGAAAAGTCTTCTTCTTCTTCTTCTTCTTCCTCCTCCTCCTCCTCATCATCCTCCTCCTCCTCCTCCTTCTTTTTCCCCCTCTCCCACCCACTCCCACTCCCACTCCCACTCCCCACTTCCATCCCGACCCCTACCCCTCACCATGAAACGAAACCGAAAAATAGATTGGGAAATACTAAAAACCAATCTCTCATATTTCTTATTGGATGATGTAGAAATACTTAGATCAATTTTAGGATTAAACAAAAGAGGGCTTTTCTTTCCGTTATTGTCGTGGCATTGTTCTTGACTTCCACGAGCTTTCTTGAACGGGGACGACTTTTCCGCTGGTGGCACTCACGGTACTTGTGATGGGGCACTACATTTCTTGAAAACCTCCATTTCTTGACATTCATTCGTTTGCACATTTCTAGATGACCAGTCACTCTACTCAAACACCAATACCACGAAACATCTTTTTTAAAATCCACATCTAATCAAGTACCAAAAGTATTGAAAGAAGAAATCATCAAAGAAAAAAAGAGCTAATTTATAGGAAATTGAAACTTTTGTTGGTGCAGGAAAGAAAAGATTAGCAAGCACATGGGTGAAAAATGCAAAAAACTGAAACGTAGGGATATTTTGCACACTAAAAGCCAAACGTAGGGACGTGTTGTGCTAAAATAAGTCCTATAGATCGTGTCCGTCTTTCAAGCTCCTTCCTTTGAGCAAATGTGAAATGATACCTCTTATTTGCAGTCAATTCATTCCTACTTGAGCTCAAACAACAAAGCAGAATCAACTTTTGATTTACGCGGCAAGAACAATGAAATAGTGATTTAATTACCTGAGGATTTGAAGGCGGTAGCTGTGGAACTAGAAAATTACCCCCAAAAATTTATGGAATTTGAAGAACCCAAAAGTACTCTTTTTAGTTTTTGATAGGGGTGGGAGTGGGTGAAGAAGAAGAATTTTCAGTTCTTGGTAGGGGTGAGGATGGGAGTGGGGGAAGAAGAAGAAGGGGGAAAAGAGGAAGAATAAGAATTTTCAGTTCTTGGTAGGGGTGGGAGTGAGAGGGGAGATTTTCCAAAATAGCCGGGTCAAATGGCCCATTTGAGTTTTTGTAAAAAAGTCAATTTTACCCTTAATGA